AGCTTAGCCTTTTACCGACTCTAGAGTGCCTATCCTTGGGAGAATCTCATCAGGTTCTTTAAAATTTACGACATGTAGTTCCTTGTTCATATGAGATCTCAAAGTTCCAAAAATGAAGGATGTTGGAAATTATCAAATTTATGAGAATAATATTTTTGATGTGTTAATAGTAACATATATGAAACCACGAGTTGTTGTTTGTAAAAAAGTAATTCATTTGATTTTGGATGTCAAATATAAAAGAGAAATTTCAAAAAATACCACTTTTTAAGTGCCACTTTACAAAAATGCCACATTTTTGAAATCTTTACAAAAGTGCAACTTTTTCAAAATTATTTTTTCTTTATATTATTTATGTTTGGGTTAATTATGTTCTACTATGGTTTAGTTATGAGGGTTTATGGGGATTTAGGGACCAAAACATTTTTTTGTGTTTAGAATTTTAAGATATAGGCTTTAAAAATCTATAATTAGTGGCATTTTTGCAAATGAACACCCTAAGTGGCATTTTTGCAAATGTGCACATAAAAAGTGGCATTTTTTCAATTTTCCCAATATAAAATTTCACTCATCTGTTTTAGTTACTAAGGATACTAGATAAACACCCGCGCTATGCTTCAGTTATTTTTTTTATTCGTTTTTTAAATATTTTTGGCTTAGTGTCATTTTTCATATATGTAATGTATAACTACACTCGTAGATAGTATTGTTATATACGTTTGTTGTTTGTATCTTTTTCATATTTCTCTTTTTAATGTGGGAAAAGTTCAAATATAATTTTTTTAGAAACTAATTGCCTTTAGCATTATTCAAGTTTTCTTTTAATATTTTAGAAACATAGGAAACTAAAAAAGAGACTAACCGAAATAAATTGTGAGAACATATTTATCTTTTTTTATCACCGCCACTAGGATAAACAAGTTGTAGAGGCCATGAACTTCAAACCAATACATCAATGTTTATTATATTATAGATTTTTTAACTTAAAACTTACAAAACTTGTATAAAACTATAACATTTAAAAAGTTAACATGTCTAAATTTAAAACCGAAAAACTATTATGCGACTCTTCTTAGGATTTTGTTTTTAATCCAACACGTGTTAGCATTCACACCTAATATTCTTAATAAAATAGTTGAGAACGTCTTCGATATATACTAATATCACATTTGGTCTTATCATTATATCTACATTCGTTTGTTTAATTACCTTGAGCAAAAACTTCAAATGCCCATTTTCCCATTCTTAATCTACCAAATATATGAATGCGTTTACATTTTTTTTCCTCTGTTTTGGCTTGGCACAAAAATCGAATTCTAAACTTTTAATGAAATAATCCAAGAAATGCCTTAAAATTTTAAATTTATACATTGAAAATAACATTTGCTAATCAAACTAAAAATATACCCAGATGAATAAAAATAGACATTGAACTTATATTGACGTATCCAGATGCATAGTTATAGGTTTCTTTATATCGATATTTTGATGTTGTTGTTTTCATATTTGAATTTAACATAGATATTCAATAACTGAAATTACTGGGTAATTAAAAGAAAATAAAATGCTAGTTTTAGTTTTTTTTAAGTTACTGGAGAAATGAGTAGATTAATGCCAAATATAAACATGAAAGCAACACTTAACATTATGTATATCATCATGCATTTTAGATCTGTGATTATTTTGCATTTCATGTGCTTAGAAATGTCCAATTATTTTGCTTTTCATGTGCTTAGGAGAAGAGGATTCCTCAGATTCAGACAAAGACTGCGATTGTATCGATCTTATGACACCTTCAGGTAAAAAAAAATGCTTCGCGAAAGGCTCGTTAAACCATCAACAAAAGTTAAGGAGGTGCAATGGCAACCAACATTTCGTGGTCAAGGAAACCGAGGACGTTGAAATTAAGGAGGACGTGGAAACCAAAGAGGACGTGGCTAGAGGTCTCCTAAAACCTTAACTCAAGTTAATCGAAGTGGAAGATTCGATTGTTTATAGTACCTTTACGTACTTAATGCTTTTTCACATTTTGTATTGTTTTCTAAAATATGATCTACATGACTTTAATGTAAC